GAGTGGAGTACCGCTCCAAGATGGCCGCCCTAAATCTCGTCAGCGACAATAGGCGAGAGCGGTCCATGAGGGTCTATCCTTATATTATGTCTATGATCTCATGTTGTCCTCCCCGTTAGGCTCCGCCCCTTTTAGTGTCTCATGTTGTCCTCCCTGTTAGGCCCCGCCCCCTCCTGCTGGTCGGCGTCCTCCAGCTCCCGTCTGAAAGGTCAGAGTTCACACAGAGCCTGGAGCTCAGAGATGCTACAGCCTCTGTGAGCTGCATCGTCACGGAAACCACAGAGGAGGAGGATGGAGGTCAGAGGTCGGTCTTCAACACCGCCTGGATCGGTAGGAACACACACACACACACACACACACACACACCATCAGGCACAGATCAGCATCTCTAACTGGACCCAGTTTGGTTTAACCATTTACTGGGTCATAAACCCAACCTGAGTCCGTCCGTCCGCGTCAGTCAGATACTTTAACACGATGAGGTGAAAAACCATCAGCAGAGACCAGAATAAACCCAGTTTTATTCACTGAGGTCATTAAATCAGACCAGATTATTAATCCTGTCATAATAATTAATCTGTCAGATTATCAGCTGGTCGGTTCATCGACCCTCTGATGGAGATGAAGATAAAACCTGTGGAGCGTCTTCCTCATCAGACACCGAAACATTTTACTGTTTATTAACAAGCTAACTGATGATGATGATGATGATGAACTGCTGAGTGAATCCAACCAACATGGAGGTTCTGGTCCAGAACCGAGCCTTTGGTCCTCACAGTGTGTGTGTGTGTTTCAGGCAGCCTGGTGTGTGTGCGGAGCTTCACCATGGTAACGGAGCGGTTCCTCCAATCATTGTTCCCGTCCTGCCGACACCTGTACCAGAACCGCTCCATCTCCAACAGAACCTGCAGGTACTGGAACCGGCTGGTTCTGACCCGGTTCCTGTCTGGTACCAGAACCAGCAGGGGGCCCTACTGAGCATGCTCAGAGGGGATCTGACCACCAGCCTCCATCAGGTGTTTCTGACTCCACCTGTTTTCTACAGAGTTTACCTGCAGTTCTCTCTGGATCACCTGGTCATTCTGAGCCCCTCTGTTGCCATGGCAACACACCTGAGGATTAGGGGGGCGGAGCCAGGAAGTGACGACCAGCAGAGGAACCACAGAGAGGAAGAGGATGATGATGATGATGAAGGCTCATGTCTGAAGAAAAGGCGATGTGATGAAGAGCTCTCCTCCGTTGCCATGGTAACAGCTCCTGAGGGTGGGGCCTCCCAGCCCTGTGTTTCTATGGTGATTAGGGTGGAGTCTAAAGGAGGCGTGGCCTGGAGGAATGCAGTGATTGGTGGGAGCTGTGAGGGGGCGGGGCTTCCGCTGGGCTTCTCTGCTACGGCTCTGCTGATTGGTCCAGTGGTCCGCTGGGGGCGGGACCCAAAGAACCAGCCAATGATGGAGAAGGAGGTGAAGCCAGAGAGGGAGGAGAAGGTGAGGAGGAGAAATGTCAGACTGTTATCTGGAGAGGGAGGAAGTTACCTGATGGTTACCTGGACGATCACCAGGTGTTTACCTGATGTCACCCTCACCTGTCCCCCTACCCCCACCGTGTCTCCAGGTGCTGCTGCAGTTCTCAGGTGTTTCCTCTCGATGGTTTCCTCTCCTCCAGCCTGGATCCGTCTACAGACTCACAGCACCAAACACTCAGGTAAAACACCTTGATGATGTCACTGATGGATGGTTACCTCTGTACTGGGTCCACTGGTTACCTGGTTCTGGAGCTCTTCATATTTTATAGGGCTGTTGTAAACGAATATTTTAGTAATCGAGTAACCTATCGATTATTCTTACGATTAATCGGATAAAAAATCTGACAGATTAGAGGCGAACGAACGTAAGATGGGGACAGGTAGACCAGGGGACGAAGGTAAGACTGGAGGACCAATACGGGATATTTATGGTTCGTCCCACTCAGAAGCTCATCTACCAGCCATGTTCCGCCTCCCGTTTGTTCAGACCGGAATGATATGAAATTAATTTCCCGGTTCGTCCTAAAGCTGCTCTTCCACTGTCAGCATCAGCCGCCCGCCGTGTTCAGTCTCTACCTGTAGAAATCCTCCTCAGCTTCTTCCCGCCGTTCGCTTCCAGCTCCGGAGCAGAAAGGCTGCCGGACTCCCGGCGTCGCTCCGGTCATCTTAAGGATGCTTATTGGTTCCCCGAAAACGATGAAAACCCGGAATTACCATCAATCAATAAAATCCCGACGGGCCGAACTTGAAGTTTGGACATTATGCCGCTAACACTTAGCTTTCGTCAACAACTCAGAGGCGGAAGTCAGAGCGATGCGCAACGCAAATAACGTTCCGGCCGGAACACGGCGCGCTAAATGATAAAACTTAAACTAACGAAGATTCAAGGCAGGAAAATTTACCTCAAGGAATTTTAATAATCGAGGGAGTCGAATCATTCGAGGAATCGTTTCAGCCCTAGTTTTTATTTACTCTGTAGTGTTCGTTAATGCGCAATAGTCAGCTCCGCCCTAATCACACCCCTGATTGACTACTGACCAGTTCTCTTAACAGGTCCAGAAAATCCCTGAAACCTGGGTCTTACCCTCGAAATAGGTTTATCTGAGATACTCTGTTTAAACTGCTGGCGGGAAAAACTCGTCTAGTTCTAACTACCTTCAATTCCAGAAGTTATGACCCTTTTCAGTTGAGAAACAATCCACAGAGTAGCCCTCACTGCTGCGTAGTTTCTACAACCACTCCTGTTAACGGTAGCTTTTCCCCTTAAAATAACGTGCACTTGTTACCGGCTAGATTAGATTTAGTGACTCAGACTTAAGTCCCAAGGTCATTATTTTTACTCTCACCAAAGGAAAATACGAAGCCACCACATCTCTAGAATCATGTATGAAGGTTTTACTATAATTAGGAGAACTTATAATGATCAGATGACCCAATTAACCTCAATGTCCACAGTATCCTTTAGAATTTTCAGTATGAAATTTATTGTGCAAGCTTTAGCAGGGGCAAATGACATACAGATTAACTTTCAGAGATTATAAAATTGTAATAAGTGAATAATTTTGAAATTAAAATTAATCACGACCTTTTCTAATTCCTGTCCCTATTCTGTGTCACAAGTTCAACTAAGCGAGGCTTTTGGGGGCAGCTAAACTCACACCCAGATGGCAATTGGTCCTGGCAGCAGAGATTCTCCAGTGTCCTTGGTCAGAGTCTTTGTCCTGGCTTGGCAAAGCCCTCTTTTAGAATAGAAGCAAAGCAGAACCGTCCGTTGTCCTTAACGCACAGAATCTTCGTCAATCAGTGACCTTTGTCTTTTCTCCAAGTCTGCTGCAGTGGAATGGGGATCGTTGGGTTGAGGCAGAGGCGTTGGTTGAATCAGGAACCAGGGCTGGGGAGAGTTGGATCTTGTCCCTTCTTGGCGGCGTGAAGTCTCGGCTTCCCCTCGGTTCCAGGGCACAGTCCTCTGCTGGTCTTCAATCTGCATCCTCTTGTTGCTCTCCTTCAGCGCCGCGGACAAAGAACAGTTTCCTCTCTTGTCTGCTGGTTTTTATACTTTCTCAGCCCATAGTTGTGTATGGGAGCGGCTTACATAATCTCCTGGAACATTCTGTGGAAAGCCCCAGTGTTTCCCAATTCATCATCTCTTTCGTGACTTACTGGTACTTCTCGTTTTCCACTGGCCATCTGGTAACTTACTTCCCTTTCTGAGCCTCCCTAGCGGCCTCACCCAATTGTGACACAGTCTAAGAGCAGAACTTGCCTTTCTTTCTCACAATCTTAAATCTCCACTCATCACATTTCTTTAATTCATTATAAAACATAACTCTGCATTTATAACACATAAACAATTTATCATTGTATTACTCATAACTCTCAATATGATTTTCTATTATTCAACTCAAGCTGTGAAATCTGTTTCTAATCATCAACAGTCATCACACTCCACTTCAATAATCCGCACACAACAATCAAATTGTTACTGTCATTCAGATTACAAATACAGAACATACATTTCAATTGTACAGTACAGATTATGCTAATCATTACATATGTGTATATATTTTATTCATCTTTAATCATCATTAAATCAATATGCAAGATTACTGTTATTTCTCAGGCCTTCCTGCTCTGTTTTCTGCGTGTACCTGGAGGAATCTCACCACTTTATGCCATTTTTCATGACAGTAGTTTTTATTCATATCTTCTGACTGAACTCACCTGGTCCAGGTCGTCTCCCTGAGACCAGGCCTGTTCTCTGATGCACAGGTAGCTGCTTCCTGCCCCCTGCAGCTGATTGGTTCTCTGTGTGTCCAACAGGATCCCAGCGTTCTGATTGGCTGCAGTGTTGCTGGGCAGAAGGGGGTGGAGCTTCATGCTGACTCCTCCCTCCAGGTGCGACCTGATTGGAGGTTCCACACTCTGACCCGCCCCCTGCTGCTGCCCCACACCTGGACTCAGGTAACCTGGTTCTGGTTCTGTTCAGACCCGCTCCAGGGGAATGTAGCTGGGGCAAAATGGCTGATAATTGAGGGGGAGGGAGGAGGGCATATTTAATTTAATAAAAACAGATTTTAAAAAGTTTACAACACAGAGAAAGATATTATTTTTTATGTTAGGACATAGTGAAAGTTTTTATTTCATCAAAGTCTTTTTATTGTTTTACTGACAGACACACATAACAGAAATCCCCCTCTGCCCCCCATACTGGACCTGTTACCCAACATGAATCCACCTTGTATTCGCACATCAGTCGATGCAGGTTTGTGCATAAATGAAAGAGCCAATATTTGACCTTTACACAAATTTATCTGCTGAGATTCTTTCTACATAAGATATAAATGGCTGCCAGATATCCAATAATTAGTTTATAGATCCTTTAACTGTATATCTGATCTTCTCCAAATGAATGTTAGACATAACCTCTCCTAACCAGAGTCCATATCCTGGAGGATGTGGATCCATCAATGAGTCTTAGAGAGCAGGAAGCTAACAGTGAATGTTTGCTGAAACCTCTGGTGGAGCCAAACCAAACAGCTGAGTGGTGATGGATCAACAGTTTGTCCAGATATTGATGAGAAACTATCAGATATTTTGCCAATATCCATGCAGCTTTGCACCAAGTCCAGAATGTGTAAAAATGTGGCTGAAGTTTGTTTTCAACCATCACATGTCAGATCCAGGTACTTTCTGAACTTCCAGTCTGTCCTTGGACCGATGCAGACGATGTTCTACCTTGAACTGAACTATAACATGTTCCTGACATGGAGGACCAATAAATATTTAGAATATTTTTAATACTTTTAGTATTTTAATACTTCAGAGAGTCTGAACTGGTGTCATTGTATGAACTGAGCAGAATAAACTCCTCATAGAGCGTTTTGTGACAGACTTACACATCAGACCCTCACCTAAAAGAGAAGCAGGAGGTCAGAGAGGAAAACACCCAGAGATTATGGGGGATTTTCTGTCATAATCCAACAGCAACAACAGCACATGCAGTCAGAAAGCAGGATTTCATTTTTGTTCTCAAAACTTGCAATAGTTGCACTCAAAACTTCTCGCTTATGCTCAGTCTCTGCTCGCTTGTGAAACATGGAGCTGCCTTAGTCACCTAGCAACCTCTCACCCAATAGAAAGAAAGCGTTGTGCTGGGTGCGTTTGTTTCCCTCTAGCTGGTCTGCCCGTGTGGCTGCTATCGATTGTAGCAGAAGCCTCAGGACTGCTGGATGTTGTTCATATCGACGGACTGTTGATCCTGGAGGACAACATTTCACAGTCAGATGGACATATCACTGTTTATACTTTATGAATAACATATTACTAAACTGTATTTATGTCCACGGCGAGATGCCAGCTAATATTAGCTGTAGCACTCGGTGTAACACCGGGTTCAGCCACTTACAAAATCTGGGTTAGACTTCATAGTGGAGGCTGAACCTGGTATTACATCTGAGATCTCATGTTAATAATCTGTCAAAATGAAGAGAAATATAATCCTGTCTCCTCCTGCTGAACCCAGAATGGCTTTTTATTTGGCTAAAAAAACATTTTGGGTTTTCTGTGGAATGATGAGTGGTCACTGCCCACTGTGGTCACTGTGGTCACTGTGGTCACTATGGTCACTGTGGTCACTGCCCACTGTGGTCTCCACTGGTTCAGTGTTTTCATCCTCTGAACGTTTGTCACTGTGCTTGTGCTGAAGTGGCAAAGACGTTATCGTGTTAGAAAATCTCAGCACTTCTTTATAATTCTCCAGAATTATTTATAGCAACGTCTGGGATCATGAGCGCCCCCTGGCATCAGGCAAGAAACTGCCTATAATCTGTTTTCTGCCGTTTCTGATCGCTCCTCGGCACGAAACACGATACACACACAGTTGGTGACAAAAAACACAGTACATTATATACATAAGCGAAATTATGGAAAATCAGTTCAGACATTAAATGTTTTTAACCATTTTGTTGCTGGTGTACAGGCAGGAGGAGCATCGAACAGCAGCTAGCGCAGTTAGTGATTTTGAAGAAAAATCATCAGAATTGATTAAGCTAAATGAAAACTAAATACTTTATAGTACAAACCACATGGTGAAAATAGCAATATAAAATATTTTATCATTATATATCCGGGTTTCCCCCAGTGTTTTATAGGCCTGGTGGCCGCCATGCTTTAGTCACTGCCAGGCTAAGCCTTTCTTTTTTTGTCTTTTTTCTTCTTCTAGGAAAATAAAAGAAAGAAAAAATCGCCTTTTTTTTAAGTCGGACTGCAAGTGTTTCTATTGCTCCAAAGTGTTTCACTATCAGAGCAGATTTATTCCTAAAAGATATGTTTATAGAAGATATGTTTATAGTTTATGCATTTAAAGCCGGAACAATCACATGTCTGGGCCTCTGCGCGTAGCTTCGGGCTGCAGCAGCTGGATGTCTAAAGTTGACCTCAGCGCTCCTCCTTTCACTCAAACTGGACACAGGCTGACCGCTATGGATAGTTACATTAACCCCCCTGTGAGGAATTATGATTAGTTATGAGGAGTTATTGATTAAGGTAAGAGTTTAAACCCGCCGCGTTAGCTCTGGTTGCGCAGCTCTGGTTGCGCAGCTCTTCACGAACCGCAGGAATAACTTGTAGTCGCGCTTTCAGTGGCGCATTGACGAGTGGTGAGAATGATGTATATTTGTGAACAGAACATTATGCGGCGCTTACATCTCAACACGCTGCCCAGCGTTTGGCCCCGTCTTCCCTGTAAAGTTTAGGTCTGTGGTCCCGGTTGGCCGGTGCGTTAGTGGTTAACGACCCAGCGCTANGTTGACCTCAGCGCTCCTCCTCTCACTTGAACTGGACACAGGCTGACCGCTATGGATATTTACATCACCCCCCTGTGAGGAATTATGATTAGTTATGAGGAGTTATTGATTAAGGTAAGAGTTTAAACCCACCGTTAGCTCTGGTTGCGCAGCTCTACGTGAACCGCAGGAATAACTTGTCGTCGCTCTTTCAGTGGAGCTTTGAGGAGCGATGAGAATGATTTATATTTGTGAACAAAACATTATGCTGCGTTTACATCTCAACACGCTGCCCAGCATTTGGCCCTGCCTTCCCTGTAAAGTTTAGGTCTGTGTTCCCATTTGCGTTAGCGGTTATCGACCCAGCGCTAATCACTCATCATGCAGGTTTAACCCGGTGAGGAGCTTCGCGCTCTCCTCGCAGTCACGCATCACGCTGATTTTATATTATTTTATCATTAATACTAGTATTATTTTTCCGGTTACACTAAGCACCAAACCGTATCAAATGCTTTGTCTACTTAGTCAGACAGAGTTGATGAGTTGATGTGCGCGCCCACCGGACATCTGAAAACTCGTCCAGAAACTCAACCAGCCAAAATAGTTTGTCACCTTGTTAAAAACGAAATGAAAGAGCTACTAAAGCCACATTAGCAGCAATGAATTAAATCTCCCATTTGTTGCACATCTCTGCACAGTGCAGCGGGTTTAACTCTGATGAGTTACTGAGCAGGGCCAGTCCAAGGCTGTATGAGGCCTGGAGCAGAATCTGACTTGGGGGCCCCTTTTGTTACTAAAAACATCAGCACCTCTAACAGCTTCTGTGTTAGATTTAGTGAAATCTAGAACAGGGTTTAACTGGCAAACCTAAAAAGCAATAAATTATAACTGCAGTTTACCAATTTGTATTTGTGAACAAACGGAGCTGAAACTCAAAGATTAAACTCACAGCATCAGATTGTAGCTGTGGTAACAAACCAATCTATGAATATTGTTCTTTGAACTTCTACAAAGTAATCTTGCCAGCTCCTTAAAATCTTACATATAAATGTTAAATAATTTAAAGTCTTTTAATTTATATATGCTGAAACCATTATGTCAAATGTAGCAGCAATGATCATCTCAATAAACAAATGCTACATTTATGTATTTGTGGTCTATGTTAAAATATCAGCATTTATGGGGCCCCTGAAGCTCTGGGGCCCAATGGAGCTGCTGACTTAATTTGGATTTAACAGAAGTGGAAATAATTGATATTCATTTTAATTGTATTTTTTGATTAGTTGTTTTTAGACTAGTTGTGGGTTTAAGTAGTGTTTCACTGACGATGCTTTCCCATAACATATAATGACCCAGTGATATTTTTACTTTTATTGTCAACTTAACATCTTTTAATACAAAAACATGGTGGACCGCCTCGGCGCCCCGATCACCAGGCTTAGCAGGTTTTCTGGGGGAAACCCTGAATATAATTTTTCCATGATGACAGGTGAGGCTCTGCCTCATCACTGGTCTGTGAAATATCACTACCAGTAGCTGAGGTCCAACAGTGAGAGCAGAACCAGCAGCTTATCCCTCCAGCTTGATGACTTAAATTATGTCTCTGGTTATTTGTTGCTTCTGGCTGTGATTCTGTTCTGGGTGAATATTATGAATATTAGTATCTGTGCTGCTTTACCTGCTGTCTGCATCCAGGTGTCTTTTTTCCTGCATTGAGCCTCGATGCAGCCAAACTCCTCAAACTCTTGTTTGCTCCGTCGTATGAACATGTTAGATTTGTTGTGTTGATGCATTTTGACGTTGTAGTTTCACACCACATCGGTTAGGATTGGCTGCTGCGCAGTGAGAAGGAAAGAGACCAGCTGCACACTGGCTTCTGCAGGCATTAGTGATCGATTTTGGTGATCGGCATCAAGACACAGTGAGAGTTAGGGTTAACTGCTTGCTGTGGACATCAGATTATTTATTTTCAGTAAAAGTCAGGTGAAATAATTCCTCAAAGGATCCAAGACCGAGACGAGATGAAGAGTTTGTTTTGCTCACAAGTGAAAGAGTTTCTGAGCCAGCAGAAGGAAATGCTTCAACAACAACAGGACAATTTGAAAGGCTTCGTTCAAATCATTCTGGACAAACACCAGACTGGACGAGCTGACAGGAGAAGGGCAGGACATTAAATCC